TTATTTTAAAGAAACTTCCACCATTCATTTTTCCAGGAAAAGTCTTTGTGTTTGCTCTTCCAAAACACAATATTGTGGTATCTTGGAGTTTCTGAAGTGGCAGTGTAGGCACTGTACTCTTATGTTTCATTGAGTGCTCGTTCAAAACAGCTGTATGTTCTATATAAAACATGTTTACATAGTAAATGTACTTCCTGTAGACACAAAGAAATGTTAATGAATAACCATTCCTGCATTTCAAATTTTGCAGGGCTGTGGGAAGGATCAGTGCATGACAAAATAGTTAATGTTCACCCACTTTCTGGCACATGAAATCTGTTACTACAACTAATCCCTTACAGAGAAAAGAAAACATGGAAAACAAACTGGTGCTGGCTGGAACTACTATGCCTTTTTTTTTTTTTTTTTTCTTCTTTTTTTTTTTTTTTTTTTTTTTTTCTTTTTTTCTTTTTAGAGAAACTGTGAGATGCATATACATGGAAGATGAACAGAGAAGGTATTCAGTGGAGAATGCCAGAAGGCATGGACTCTTTTTGGTAGGCAAGGCTGCTGGTTTTAATTGTATATATTGTCTTGGATTCTCACCTTCAGAAAAAATGCCAGTTTCACCTCGCACAGTATTCACTACCCATTATTTATATCCTATTGCCTGGGGCCCAGGGAAGGCAAACAACAGGTATTTTCCTTTCAGTCAATTTATATCTGAAAATCTATATGACTTAAAAGACTTCTTAAATAACAGATATCCATTTATCCCTGAAAAATTTTAAAAAGGCAAAAGTCAAGTGATCTAACAGCATTGCCCCTGAAAAAGCCTCAAAAAGACGAACAATTTAGATGAAGTTCTTTCTGAAATACAAAAATATAGTGTTTTATAGTTTACTCCAGGAATCTGCTCAGCATCTGCAGACCAATTTATGAAAAAAAGGTGATACACCATACATGGACCAGATGCACTACTGTAGTATAAGGCAGAAACAAGCTTTGTTGGGGATGTTCCAACATTTCTGCACAAGAATTCACAGTATACAAAAAATGTTTCATGTGAATGAAAATCTTTTTTCACTGCAACCTCTCTGCATGGTCTAAAAGTGCTACTGTGGACATGGGTTTCAGAGGCCACCCAACAAGCAATGCTCAACTTTATCTTCTTCACAGGGTGGCATATGAATAGCACATTTCAGTTTTAACAGGCTGAAAAATCATTACCGTAGCAATAAGGCTAAGACCTCAGAGAAATTTTCTCAATAAACACATTCCTTGACAATTATCATTTTTGTACAAAAGATATATTTTGCTTTTGAGATAAGACTTGTTTTCATGATACCACAGCAATTAACAAAAGATAATCTGGAACCTTTTCTTTTAGGAATGTCAAACTATCTCATGTTCTGTAAGAAACAATAATTAAACTGTTTATTAAATTCAGTGAACTTATCCTCAAGCTCCTTGAGGAGAGGGGAACTTGATAGAGTACTGGCAAACTTGAAAAGTCCTCAGAAAGTAGTGTGGTGAGTGATAAACCTCTATCTTATTATTAGAATGCAATTTACAAAACATTTTTTAGAGATGTTCAATTTCTCCAAAAGTGATCTGAAACAAACGAGGAGAGAAAAAGTTTTCAACAGAAGCAACTAGCCACAATAAAGGACACGCAGCAAATAACAAAGCTGACAAGATTAGCAGAAAACTTGACTTCTTTACAAACATTCAAAGGAAAGAGAAGAGTAAATGTCAGGGCGTGATGTTATTTTGAGTTGCCAAACACTGCCACCATGCGTTTGCTTCAGACTTTCAGGCTGCTTGAAAACTGCTACATGATGAGCATTAAAACATAAAGTAAAACAATTTTGTTCCTGTATAATACAATAGTAACGACAACCCCAGAAACGTTTTTAATATTTTTTGTCACTTGAGTTACATTTTTGTAAGGACAGAGGGTGCTGTTTCTAACCCTTTCTACCATCGTGGTGGAGAATAATAACTGGAGAATGCTAGAGAAAAACAATAATGGACAGGCTTTGTTTCCACACACATACATATTTTTATTTGTTTGTTTGTTTCCTACATAATCGATGTTTTGTTGTGTTTCTACAGTGCCCAACTCAACAAACTACACGTTCATCATCATGATCCCTACAAGGTACCAAACCCCACAAATATTCATGCAAGTGTAACAGAATTACTTCAGAGATAAGCTTTTCTTCAAACTTTTATATGAATGAACAACAACATTCATAAAATGATGTAGATAATGGATTCAGAAAACTTCCTACATTAATTTTCATCACTTCCTGTTTCAACAGCACAGGATCTCTACTCATATTTGAAAACTATAGCCATTCCAATTTGAATTAAAAGCATTACATTTCTTATTAATTCAGTCTTTTCTCTAAAACCTCTCCTTGAGGTGCATGACAGGCAAGAGAACCGCATCAAACTCCTGAAAAGCTAAAACAATTTGAGATGCCCCTCTTATCATTTAGGTGGGATATTCAAGAAGATGCAATGGAATTTGGGACAAGGAGGTGATCTGAGACAGCCAGCACAGCCAACACAGCTTCACCAAGGGCAAATCAGTGCCTGACCAATTTGGTGACTATGTTGGAGTGACTGCATCAGTTGATAAGTGAAGACTGACCCGTGTCATCTACCTGGACTTCTGCAAGGCCTTTGACACAGCCCCACATGACACACCAGTCTCCAAATTGGAGAGGGAGTTGAAGGGTGGACCATTCGATGGATAAGGAATTGCCTTGAAGGCTGCACCTAGAGTTGCGGTCAGTGGCGCCATGTCCAGATGGAGACCAGTGGCAAGTGATGCCTCTCAGGGGTCTGTCTTCGGACCAGTGCTATTTAATATCTTTATCAACAACATAGGAAAATGGATCGAGGCACCCTCAACAAGTTTGCAGATGATGCCAAGGTGAGTGGTACAGTTGATACAAGAGAAGGAAGGGATAATCCTGACAAAAGTGTGCCCATTTGAACCTAATGAGGTTCAACAAGTCTAAGGGACAGGTGCTGCACCTGGGTCAGGGCAATCACAGACGTAAGTATAGACTGGGAAAAGAACTCACTGAGAGCAACCCTGCAGAGAAGGACTTGAGGGTTCTTGGACAAAAAGCTTCACATGAGCTGGCAGTGCATGCTTGCAGCCCAGAAGGCCAACTGCATCCTGGGCTGCATCAAAAGAGGAGTGGCCAGCAGGTGGAGGGAGATGATTGTCCCCCTCTGCTCCGTGCTTGTGAGGTCTCACTTGGAGTACTGCATCCACGTCTGAGGCCCCCAGCACAAGAAGGATGTGGGCCCATTATAGCAGGTCCAGAGAAGGGCCACAAAGATGATCAGAGGGCTGGAGCACCTCTCCTACAAAGAAAGGCTGAGAAAGCTGGGGATGTTCAACCTACAGCAGAGAAGGCTCCAGAGCTACCTTAGCGGAGCTTTTCAATACTTAAAAAGGGGTTATAAAAAGAGATGGAAAGCAACTTTTTCTTAGATAATGACAGGACAAGGGTAAACTGTTTTAAACTAAGCAAGGGGAGATTTAGATTAGAGGTTAGGAGGATGTTCTTCACTCAGAGGGTAGTGAAGCACTGCAACAAGTTGCCCGGGTAAGTTGTGGGTAGTGGTGAACACTTCAACATCCGTAGAGGTGTTCAAGGCCAGGCTGGATGGGAGCTTTAGGAAACCTTATCTAGTGGGTTGCACTATTAATGCTCATTGCAGAGGGCTTGTAATTATTTGATCTTTAAGGTTCCTTCCAACCCAAGCTGTTCTGTGATTCTATTAATTCCATTGACTTCACCAGGATGGATGCCTGATTTTCTCCAATGTTTTCAAAATTTCTGTTATAAATTTTTTGAATTAGAATGCTTAACATTAGCTTGTTAAGGAAAGTTAAAATTAGCTTGCTCAGGAAGTAACAGAAGCAACCTCAGCTATTTTTTTTATATATATATGCATCTGTGTACACACATTATAGAATATACGTATATATATTACTCAAATACAAGTTAACTAATTGAACTTGGAAGAACTAACTGAAGAATTCTCACTCCCTCATTAGCATTACTCAGGTTTCAGAGATCCTTTTTACACAAGATATTTCAACTACCTTCCTCAGACTACTTTACAGATTCTGCACCTACATGTATGTCTGTACACCTTCACTGTACTACCTTCAGGAAAATGCAGACCTCAGGAAGCAGGGCCAGGAAAGAAAACTGGCAAAAGTAATACTTGGATAAAATTCCATGCTTGCAAGAAGACATTTTCTACTACTCTAGACATTTGAAATTTCAAGAACAAAAACATTTTTAAAAAGACTAAGCGAATATTTATATACTTAACAGGAGACTGCAGTTTTGGACAGCTCAGTCCCAGAATTATGTTTAGGGTAACAGAAAATCAAAACACTTGCACCTGAAGTGTTTTGCCAGCTTTACTCATGCATGCACCCACTAGATACTTTTGGTTATTCCAAACTTCTTTTATTCTTGGGAATACTGGGAACCTGAACCTACTGTATCTTAAAACTCAAGTGATTCCAAACAGATGGCAAAGATAACAACTGGAGCAGAGAAGTCCAAGTGACTGATAAAGGACAAAACCAATGATTTTATTATGTCTCTTGCCATTCGCTCTCCTAAGTGCAGTTGTAGAATATACAAGTAAATTTATGCTGCAACTCTTTTCTGTAAGTCTTACAACAACAGGAAGAAGCCTTAAGCCTTGCATGCAGCTCTACTGCAAATGTCTAAGAAATAATAGCATCAAGACAGAATTAACTGGATTGTCCTAGTCTGTTCCGGATTTGTCTAACCAATAGATGATAGCAGTATTCCCATCAGAGAGATTAAGAGGTAGGAAAAACAAAATTGCCAGAAGTCCATCATGTTTCTTACTGCAGACTTAAAGCAACAAAACACATCTGTGGCATTAATTAGTAAATGAGACTGTCAATGAGCTCCTTCTTAGGTAAACACAAATGAAGAGAATAGCATGCAAGATCATTTTAATGAAGTTTAGGAAGAAAGTATAGGAAGGAGAACTTTTATGTTGTTGAAAATACACACAGTCTGTAAGATGCTTTTCAGTACAAGAACATGTTTTCAACAAGGAGAAAGAGTGTCATCTATTTATGCACTTTTAAAACACTATGAATTTTAATTTCTTAATCTCTTTCCTCAACAAATAGGCAAAGTTTTAAAAATTTTTTGCCTTATAACACTTATCATCATCAAAGCAAATGTCATAAAAGTAACTATAAAGCTATGCTTCACAGAAGTTAACACTGCTGAGCAAAGTCAACAGATAGAAAATACATCTTCTAAATATAATTAAATTTGCCACTTCAGCTGTTAAAAAAGCTGAAATTTTATACTGTGGCTCAAAGATTGCATTCAATTAATTATTCCTAGTTTAAATCCTTTTTTCTCTAATTCATATCCTTTAGTTTTAGAGTAACAAAAACCTTGGAAAGTGACATAGTTAAATTACAAAATTGCAATTAAAACATTGAAAGGGTAGCTTGAATGAAGCAACATGATTTTAGTTTACATCTACCCCCATCACTGAACTAGTGATTCTCTCACTATGATTTCCAGTCAAAGAATCTTATTAAAATGTAACTTGAATCTCTAATTGTTTGTATAATCAAAGCTATCTCCAGACATTACCCTCTGGTTTTGCTCTCCATAGGAGAAAGAAATGGATAGAGATTAGTTATCTTCTGTGAATCCATTCTTAAACTGATGCATTCCTTTGAAATTCTAGTCTTTGTGGACAAGAATATGGGAAAATGTATTTTTGAAAAAAATATATTCAAAAGGAATCTTGTATGCAACACAAAGATAACTTCTTGAACCATAGTAAATACATGACTGTGATTGTGTACACTTTAGAGTTCATATTTAATTTACATGCAGTTAACTCACTAACTAGGCATGTACTGGGAATGAGCAGATAAATTAAACAAATGGTGCACATCATGCATGACCTGGCTGGTTTGAACTAATAAAAACAATTATAGCTGTCAATGAGCATTACTTTACCCTAAAGGTTATACTATTAATTGTTTCTCAATCTGTTCATCACAGTACTTGAAACTATTTCCAGTGTATTTCATCAACATGTACAATAAATCTTTAGGAATTTGATTTTTTTTCCAGAGCTTTTATTCATCCTCTTCTCTTAGATGTTTTCAGTACAATAAAAAACTTTTATATAAAAAAGTCTAGCTACAAAACATAATATACTTAAAGAAGAACTTGCATCATCCTGAATAGGCTTGCAGTCAATCCTTTTTAATGGATTTGGCAAACAGCTTGTTCTTCAGAAGCTTGATAATTCAACTCCAGTCTCAACAGCCTTCTAATAAAAACAATACATTTTGCATCCAAAGTTTTACAATGACTGATGAAGTTTGCTTTTAAACCTTAGACTTGTCAAGTTTGATGACTTCAAAACTCTTAAGATATAACAATATCCTAATAACCTTACAACTATTTAATTTATGTGGCTGACTGAATTAATGTTAGCTTTCTGTCACTGAAGTTCCTTATTTTTATCAAAGCCTTATTTGTAAGCTCTTCAGTTTCATCCCACTTGTTTTTCTCTGGGCTTGTGTATGTCATCAAGTTTTCAGTATATTGCAAGATTGACTTCAAAAACCTACGAGAAATAAAAACAGAAGAAAAACTCATTAAAGAACCTAAAAAGAAAAAGCTCTCAGTGCCTGACTTAAAGTTACTACATTCTTCTACTGAAAGAAATGTACTTGTTCATTCTCACTTGTAGAAGTAATGATTTTCAGAACTGCAATTAAACACTGACAGAGAAAGAATGCAGTCATATAAAATGTAATACAATTTTCCTCATATTGCTTCTTTTCTTTTCTCAGTCAAATGTTCAGAATACAATCATCTGTTAATTGACACACAAGGAGTAACATTACTAATATATTAAATACAGCTTTTATATACTGAATTTTTCAGTGTGATCATTCTCTGTTTATACTAAGGAGGAGTCTAATAATTAAAAATGTGAATAACTGAACCATATATTTCCAATGAAGTTATTTTAGTTCTTAGTGAACATTGTATGACATAACTGATGACTAATGATAGAAAGAAGGATGACAATTCTTCTGCAGTAGTTATGCTGTTCCTTTTTTTTTTTTTTCCTCTACAGGATTTACATTATATATCAAATTTATTCAAATGGACACAAAAATAGTGCGTGTAACTTCCAATTACCACAATATAAGTTGTATATACTTACTTTAGATACTGCTGATAATCAGAAGGAGTCTTCTTACAAACCAAATGGACATTGATTACTTCCAGAGTAATCAACAGTAAGATGAGCCGCAACACCGGAAACAAAAACTTAATACTAGAAATAAGCAGAAGTATTTAATAATAATAAACTAAATCCGAATTAAACTGAAATCACTAATATAAAAAATTCCTTTGACTTCTGGATCCATCCTAAATAGTTGGATATTTAATAGTAGAAAAAAAGACTACAGAAGTCCATCAGACAAAAACAGGCCAAGTATCAAAACTATATAAAGACTATAAATAATGAAACCTCAGAGGAGGAATAGAAGAGAAATACATGTAATTAAGACTCCAGAGAAAACCTCACCAGAACCCATTACCCCACAGATAATAAAATGGAGATCAACTGAATTACAAATATGCATTGTCAGTTTACACTGTTTCTTGAATAACATGTTTTAACATTTTGACGAATACAATCTGTCCAGGAAAATTGTGCTCACAGTTTTCCCAGTTTTTAAAGTAAATTCATAAGTCCTTGAAAAACACTTATGAACCGGAACAAAATTAATGGAATCCTAAAAATCGCTCTTCTGTCTAAAAGATGCTGACCCAACCATGATAAAAATCAGAAGAACTGAAGCAGGTAGAGTCTTGAAATAAAATTAACATATTGCATTCTGGTAAAACTCAAATGGCATTTTTATGCTTAAATAGGAAAAGCAGGATATATATATATATTTATATCTATATATATAGATATCACAGAATCACAGAATTTCTAGGTTGGAAGAGACCTCAAGATCATCGAGTCCAACCTCTAACCTAACACTAACAGTCCCCACTAAACCATATCCCTAAGCTCTACATCTAAACGGCTTTTGAAGACTTCCAGGGATGGTGACTCCACCACCTCCCTGGGCAGCCCGTTCCAGTGCCTCACAACCCTTTCAGTAAAGAAATTCTTCCTAACATCTAACCTAAAACTCCCCTGGCGTAACTTTAGCCCATTCCCCCTCGTCCTGTCACCAGGCACATGGGAGAACAGGCCAACCCCCACCTCTCTACAGCCTCCTTTAATGTACTTATACAGAGCAATAAGGTCACCCCTGAGCCTCCTCTTCTCTAGGCTGAACAAGCCCAGCTCCTTCAGCCGCTCCTCATAGGACTTGCTCTCCAGGCCCCTCACCAGCTTCGTCGCCCTTCTTTGGACCCGCTCAAGCACCTCGATGTCCTTCTTGTAGCGAGGGGCCCAAAACTGAACACAGTACTCGAGGTGCGGCCTCACCAGAGCCGAGTACAGGGGGACGATCACCTCCCTAGCCCTGCTGGTCACAGTGTTTCTGATACAAGCCAGGATGCCGTTGGCCTTCTTGGCCACCTGAGCACACTGCTGGCTCATATTCAGCCGACTGTCCACCATCACTCCCAGGTCCTTCTCTGCCTGGCAGCTCTCCAGCCATTCCTCTCCCAGCCTGTAGCTCTGCTTGGGGTTATTGCGCCCCAGGTGCAGGACCCGGCACTTGGCCTTGTTAAACTTCATACAGTTGACCTCAGCCCATCGGTGCAGCCTATCCAGATCCTCCTGCAGAGCCTTCCTACCCTCGAGCAGATCGACACACGCACCTAGCTTGGTGTCATCTGCAAACTTACTGAGGGTGCACTCAATGCCCTCATCCAGATCATTGATGAAGATGTTAAAGAGGACCGGCCCCACCACCGAGCCCTGGGGGACGCCACTAGTGACTGGCCTCCAACTGGACTTGGCTCCATTCACCACAACTCTTTGGGCCCGGCTATCCAGCCAGTTTCTAACCCAACGAAGCGTGCGCCAGTCCAAGCCAAGAGCAGCCAGTTTCTTGAGGAGAATGCTGTGGGAGACGGTGTCAAAAGCCTTGCTGAAGTCAAGGTAGACCACATCCACAGCCTTTCCCTCGTCCACCCAGCGCGTCACTTTGTCGTAGAAGGAGATCAGGTTCGTCAAGCAGGACCTGCCTTCCATAAACCCATGCTGGCTGGGCCTGATCGCCTGCTTGCCCTTCAAGTGCCGCATGATGACTCCCAAGAGGATCTGCTCCATGAGCTTCCCTGGTACTGAGGTCAAACTGACCGGCCTGTAGTTCCCCGGGTCTGCCCTCCGGCCCTTCTTGTAGATGGGCGTCACGTTTGCTAGCCGCCAGTCAGCTGGGACCTCCCCCGATAGCCAGGACTGCTGATAAATGATGGATAGGGGCTTGGCCAGCTCCTCTGCCAGTTCTCTCAGTACCCTTGGGTGGATCCCATCCGGCCCCATCGACTTGTGGACATCCAAGTGCCGTAGCAGGTCACCAACCAGTTCTTCGTGGATGGTGAGGGCCACATCCTGCTCCCCATCCCCTTCCACCAGTTCTGGGTACTGGGTATCCAGAGAGCAACCGGTTTTGCCGCTAAAGACTGAGGCAAAGAAGGCATTAAGCACCTCCGCCTTTTCCTCATCTCTTGTAACTAAGTTTCCCCCCGCATCCAGTAAAGGATGGAGATTCTCCCTAGTCCTCCTTTTTGTGTTGATGTATTTATAAAAGCGTTTTTTGTTATCTTTAACAGCAGTAGCCAGATTGAGCTCCAGATGAGCTTTGGCCTTCCTAATCTTGTCCCTGCACAGCCTCGCTACATCCTTATAGTCCTCCTTAGTGGCCTGCCCAATTTTCCAAAGATTATAAACCCTCTTTTTCCTCCTAAGCTCAAGCCACAATTCTCTGTTGAGATATATATAATCTAACATTTAAATGTTACTTTTATTTGAAAACTTATAATTTACAGTGTAGTAGTCTAGCAGTGCAAAAATATATATATATTAAATTGGTCTCTAATTTGATATTTTCTGTTATTTTAATATTACTACATAACCATAAACCTGTGTTGACACTAACTCTGACATGGTTAACGAGAACATAAAACTGTATTTTAAACTTGTAAAACAAAACACAAAGCTAGCAACAGCAGCATGCAGCCACTACACCACAGCACCATAAACATAGCCACAAAGTAAAGAAAAAAACATCAGCCAACCTGTTTAACATTCGTAGATAGTTATGCCTTTGGCGAGAACGTAGAGTCTTTTTCATCCACTGTTTATATCTCAACTCAATGCTGGCAATAACTTGTTCCGACACTTGATGGCACTGTGTGCATATTTTACGGAGTACCACTAATACTTCCAGGACAGGTCGTGGAGAATAGAGTGTGCAAACGTGTTTATCACAAAGTTTTACCAACAGCCTCCAAAAGAGGAAGTAACTGTTAATTTCAATATTTTGCTAGATGCATCTAACATTAGATATATTTCATATTTGGTGTGGTTAGATTTGCAATGTTTAACTTAAACTGATTACTCTTACCTCATGACCGAAAAAAAAAAAATATCTTTATACACTCCATGTACTCTATCACTTTACTAAATGCAATTGAAAAGTTACTGGTGATGAATGTGTTTTCTGTTTCAAATCAAAGAAATACAATGACAATAAATAAAAATATCTAGATGAAATAATACACTAAATATACCAAATCAGAGCATTCCTATGGTTGGAGCCTCCTACCATACTTCAATTCACAATGAACTATTATAATAAAACTTATATGATAATAAAACTTACTGAGACAAAGGGTATTAACTAATACTCCCATTAGTGTATTGTCTTTCTTACAGGCAGAACAAACAGCAGACTTAACACTTCTTAATATAAAGGTTGTGCTGCCATTGTTTTAATCAACTGCACCAGATTATGAATTGTTAGGAGATCAAATACCTTTCTCCTGTCCTTTTCTGATCTACAAACATAACATATCACATTTCACTTTAAACACTGTTCTTATAAAGCTGTTTCTTAATCTCCTTCACACCAAAAATTCTCTCTCAGACAGCAAAACATTAACGAGTAAAAGTGCTAAAAGCAGAAAACTCTTACAATGGTTTAGCAATTTAGCAATTGGGCTGCTCTTTAATTAATGAGAACAGTGCAAATTGCTTCACATATATAGACTGTGTGCCTTCCATGTTCTATTCATCAATGGGTACCATCCTCTTTGCCTTATCCTGCCCATACCCAATACGTTTTATTAGGAGAGCATTGTTCCATCATATTTATTTAGTCATGAACCTCTTCAGAGTACCACAACAGGGCCAATTAAAAAGACAAGTTGTTTTGATTATTATTCCATGTCAGTTTTAACTGGACCTACCAATATACCTCTAAAGTCTGAAAAGTGTGACAAATTTTCTATTTCAGAATCTTGGTACTGAAACACATAAGAATTATGTAGTGACATATTACTATTTTTTAAATGCCATGCATAGCTATGACATCAAACACATTAAAACAAAATTTCTGATGCAGCTTTAGATTAAAGCCCACTTAATCAAGTCAGCACATAAATATTTACATATATTGCTTCCCCAGTCTGACTTTTTTTCCCCAATGATGAATTCTAAACTAAATCTAAATAAATAATGACCCAGATCTACAACATCTCATTGCTGCAGCAGCAATATTGGAACAGCACTTGAAATATTTCAAGTACTGTTCTGAAAACAGGAAAATGAGTAACTTAGGTTTGAGAGTTCTTGTGCTGAGCTACATGCAGAAGTTGACAGTGGGAACCCAGAAAACAAACTTACCTCTCTGTTACAACACTATTGATAGGATCATCTGGACTACAGCAATCCCGGGGCAAATACTGCTGTACTTGAGAGAGGATTTCAGCCATCTTCAAAATTAAAGAACTAGTTTCAGTATTTCCTTCTAACCTTAAAATAAATAAATAAATAAATAAAAAGATCGAGATGACAATACTGTATAGTGCTCATTTGCCTAAATGGCATTGACTGAGATGTAGATATTTTGGATAGCAATATATATGTATTTAATAACCCCTCTTTCTACTATCTTGGTTTTCCCTTTAAGTATAACTTTCCTTCTCCAATTAAAATCAGCCTTTTCTCAGTCTCAGCAGTCTCTTAAACTCCTCTTAATCTTCTGCTTATTCATTAAAATTGCGAAGCATACTGAATATGTGCTTGGTGCATTCCATTTTCACCTCTCAGATCTAAATCAGTGTAATTTCCTATTTAATATCTTGTGTAAAGTCTTCCATTAATTTAGTTACCAAGCCCTTTTCAGAATAAGCAATTATTTTCTGTTTTACATCTGGTGAGTCATCTTTTGTTTTTGTTGTGATGGGCTCAATTTCTAGTTTAATTTCCTAACAGCTCCTTCAGTATCTCTTCAGAAACAGAACAGGGAGTCACTAACACCCTTGTGTTGCTTTCAAATGGTTCCTCGTTGCCTTCTAGTTAGTGCAATGCTTGTAGTTTTTATACTGTATTTGCATTATATATACAGATACGTATAGCATAGATTAAGTTAAAAAGAAAAACAAAAGGGTCTTTACACAACCTCTTTGGCGTCTATCATCTTACTAGTAAAGAAACTTAAGATACTTTTCATCTCAAATCCAATTTTGAGAACTTTTTTTTTTTTGTTATGAACAGCATATATGTACCCTTTAACTGCTTGAACATGTTCCTCAGACACTGTTGGTAATTCAGGCCATACGTGAATGCTCTTCATGCATTCCAGCACCTAAAATTCAAAAACGTACCATGAAAAATTGTATGTAAAGTATGACCTTTGACAGATAACATTTTATTTTTCTTAGTGGCTATTTTAGAAAGAAACTGCAACAACTGGTAATCAGTTCAGTAGTCATAATTGTATAAACTGACACAAATTGTTAAGGTTTACATTAGGGCAATCAAAGCATGAAGACAGTAATTAAGACTAATTTTAAGGATTCACAATTTTATGGACTAAAATGCTTTCAACTATAAGCATTTACCTGTTTCTTTAGTCGGGAAATTGGATGAAATTGAGAACGGTAGCAACTTGCAGAAGTCATCAATGGTTTTATGATCACATGTTCCTGATTACAAAATCAACAGTTGACAGACAGCAGACAAAATACAACATTTTCTTCAAACTGTCCTAACTGGATGCAGAATTAGACTTATGTTTAACTTTATGCAAGCTACCTACAGTACTGAAGTTAATTAATTTCATACGTCTAAAGCAATAAATCAAAACAATGAGTTTTTAAAGCTTGATTTCTTTGCCATATTTCAACAATGAAACCTGACTGCAGCTGAGAGAAAAGTAACCATGAACTCTCAATGCAGCAGCATGCAAATCTTGAGAAACCAGAAGGTAATCCAAATTATAAATGAAAGATTTATCTCAAAGGTTTTTGTTTCATATTGAAGGAAGTAATGCCAAACACGAACAGGAAATTTGTGAGAGTGAATATAATAATTGCTAATGTTAAAGCACATGTATTGCTAGACAAAAGGTATATACAAATTCACAATATAGAGTGTGGACACAAATTGCATCTCCATTTCTGAAACGTTATTTATAGTGTCTCAGAAAGAAAGAAAATGTCAAACATTACATGCCTCAGTGGCTGAGCTACAGCTGTTCTATTTACCTTTCCAACAACACAGCTGATAAACAGGCTAAGTATCAATATAATTTAACAAATCATATACAGTACTATCACTATAATCTATGGATCAACTATCCAAATAAGGAATAGTTAATCAAATTAAGATACAGTAAGAAGACTTATTCCAGAAAACTTTCTGTACTTATTTTACTACAATACTAGAAAAACATACTTGCACAGCTTTTTTCTTGGAGGAACGCTTTATTTCTATGAAAAGCTGCTGTAAAGAAAGATGCAGTCATGACACTATCTAAAATTACATTCAGCACCCAAAACAACTGAAGATTCTTCTGACAGCATAATATTGATCCTTACCTTGAAAGCAACTGTGTCTCCATCTGAGAATCTACAGAGAAGTGTAATTGCAAATGCAACTATCTGATTGGCCAATTCTCTAGGAAATGTTTTTAGATTGATCTCTCCATGACTTAAATGATCTCTTATACGTGGACCCTCCTGGTGGTTCAAGAAATCCCAAAGAAATTCCTGTGGAAATTCACACCAATTGTTGTGAGTGTACAGAATACCATCTGAAAGATAAATATGTGACTGTGTCTATAGGAAAAATGGCATTTAGATGAGAAAACAATGCACTCTATGCTCATAACAGAAGGGCAACTAAGTACATCTTGCTAGCTTCTCAGGAAATTCAAAATTCACATACAAGTTATTTCATAATGGGTAACAACGAATTTCCTTTAAATTTGTGTCCCAATTTCTACATAGCTTCACTGCCTCCGTCTCAGTGCAATAAACTCATGTCTTTCGTGCAGTCTCAAGTCTCTAAATTCAACACCTCTAGTTTTCGTGTTCACTGTTATGTTTGGGTTACAACATGCAGAATGTTCTCTGGTAGGTTTGCAGCTATGTTTTTATGCCACGTGCCCACCTAGTATTACATGTGCCCCAGAGGAAGTCAGAAAACAGTTTTAATTTTCCCCATATGTGGCAACAGTTTTTCTCCTGCTCTATAAGCTAAGTAGAATAAATACATAAACGATCATAAATGTATCGTTATTCTGAAAGAAAACAAAAATAAAACCAACAAAAAAGACAAACAAAATTACAACAACAACAAAATGAACTTTCAAAACACTTGCCATGGCAGGTTCTTCAAGAACTGAAGGAAGCTGGTTGATTTCTTCATTATCCAAATGCTTTTTTAGCATCTAGAAAAAGTAATTTGAATATAAATGCATTGTTGAAAGCCAAACAATCAAAGCAAAAACACTAAGTAAATAGATTTTCTAATATTAAGCAAATACTTCTCCCATGCCAGAAACAAGATATATATTTACTACTGATTAAATACTTGACTATTTGAGATAATTCAGAAGGGCTGTAAAATCTAGGACTTCTGCTGGCAAGGCTTATTTGTATTTATTTTGAATAGCTGAATCTAGGAAAATGGCAGAGTATGTTTCTTTAAGATGAATAAATAAAAAATAAAAGCATTTAGATTAATCTCTTCATTAAAATTTGTATTGATTTTGTTATCTTCTGAGGGATGCCATATTTAAAGTATGTTTTCTGCCATTATCTTCTATTTGGAAAAATTTAGAAATAATGCCTTATCCAACACAACAAGAAAGTGCTTTCTGATCTCTACTAATGAGAGACATGCACATGCTTGAATTCTGACACTGATCCATATTTTAAAAAAAATAAAATCACAATTACCTCATCAAAAGTGGTGTAGAGAGCAGAAGGCTGGAACAAAAGATAAGTATTACATGATTTTTCAAAAAATGCAAGCCATACTGAAGTTATACTTATTAATTTATGTGAGATACTGGAGGTACATGAATAGCAAAAAAAAAAATCAAAAGAAAAAAACGACTTAGGATTTTTTAGCAAGGTGTTTTGTTTTGTTTCTAATAAACATAATATGATCTACTTTCCTCCCTTAACTACTGTTTTTGAACACTAACCTTCACTAAGTTTTTCAGACCACTTTTAGTAGGAAAAAAAAAAAGGTGTTCATGAAACTTTACTGGAAATTTCTAAATGATGTTCCACGATTTCTTGGAATGTTGGGGTAGGAAAAACTGGAAGTATCACCTTGCTTCTAGAATAAATTATTCTAGAAATACTGTGAAGTCATAATCGACTAGACAGAAACCTTACCTCAGCTGTCAGCAGTCGATTTGGACATTTATTAGTTGTAGTGAAGAGCAATCTGAGTCCAGCTTCCAGCTGAGGAAGTAAGAGAATCACACAATCAGCATACCTGAAAAAAGAACAGAGATACCCAAAGGGTTTTTCTTCCCTTATAAATATAATCCAAATGGAAATTAGAGCCATCTTAGAAATATTCTTTCAGGCCAAACAATCCAGACCAATATTCCTTCGTAGTGAGGACCTTATAAACAGATATTAATGACTATCTGTGCCCAACAGAAGCTGGCCACCTGGTTCAAATCAGCTCAGAGATGACACTGACTTACAAAAAGGTGGAAGCATGGAAGATGGAAAAAAAACTATTTTTTTTAAATATGTTAATATCTGAAGAGTTACTTCCATTCACTTTCTAAAGCTCTTCTTCACTACATCTGCTGCAGTTCCTCAGCTTAGATTTCAATACATAGGTTATATTACTTTATTTTGTGCCAACTAGAAATAAGTCTGCCAACCTTCTGAGGGACCATCATTACAATGCATAACTATATGTTTTTAGGCAAAAGATTTAGCTAAAAGCTTTGGAATCCACAAGTACTGCTGACTAGTATTCTATAAATAGTGAATATCTAGAAATGAAAAGACTAAAGAAATGAGAAGACTGAAGACTACAGACCAAGACTAAAAATAGGGAGAAAACAAATCAACTATTACCTGCTTTGCTTGAAGGCTGTTAAAGCAGCCATCCAAAATGGTACCATTGATTCAAATACAAAATTAGACACTTGTACTAGCTCTTCTGCTACACAAAGTGTTTCATGATTAAGATCTGCAAGTTAGCAAAACAACATTAAGTAAGTTACATACAATCTACATGTTTCCTAATTCATTATTAACATTTAATTGAAAAGATCACTTCAGCACTTATAAAGGGAGACTTAAAAGCTATTCAATTTATTTCAACTCTGCAAGTAGAACAGCAATCACAATACATTTAATATCAGAAAATCAATTTATAAGATTGCATTTCAACAAATAATATAAAGTGACAGCATAAACACAGTAAAAAATGCCTACAATTTTTTGAGACTAAAATATTACACAGCAACTGGCCCGTTTCTATTGAGATGTTCTCCACCTACTTCAAATACTTCAAGAAGTATAATATATCTTAATCCCTTTAATTCAGTAAAAATCTGTAGAATAGTGTTTTAAAAATAAAAATATTGTTTCTATTTTATCAAATTTTCTGTACCAACATTTAGCATAATACTTTATACTTCAGTGCTACCATATAATGAAAAAAGACACTTATTAAATCATATTATAAACACATTCCATGACAAGCCATAAAATAGTAAGTATAACTTAATTGTAGTAGGTGTTTTTCTGAAGCACACCAACAACTACAGGATTTATACTACATGATGATTTGAATATTTTCAGCTTGATATGGTTTCAAAAAGCCCCATTCTCAGTTCCAGTGAACAGAAGTTTCACTGACAAATTGATCAAATAGCACAGACAGACTATGGCCACTGTATAGACCTGGATTCCTTATATGTTTTTGTTCCTCTGAAACAGTGGGAATACACCAAATATGGCCTGAAACTACAGTGATGAGGAGACTTTCATCTGACACTCTTCAGGTCCTTCCCTGAGAAAAGCATCAGGGTACTGAAGATGAGGCATCAGTAATGTTTCACTACTTTCCCTGAAATATGCAGAGTACTCCTGCTGGGACTTGTGCACCTGAACCCCCCTGATTCAGGAAAAAAATAAAGATTCGGTATGACTATTAAATAAAATACATTTTCATCATCAAAAGATTGGAACATGAAGTCTTCATAGGCAGTAATGTTACACATTTCAGTGTGCTGCAATTATTTTGGAATGAAGAATTTTTTGACTCAATAACGAGTAGAATTGGTTTTGTATTAAAAAGTGGTCCTACAAGCACAATTGATTCATCTAAAGACAGCATATGGTATTTTAGTTAAAAGATTCAATCTTAGAACTGTGGAAACTCCATTATTTTTAACAACACTTTTGGACAATGAAACAACAATAAAAAAACAGCTAAAGGTCAAATACTTGCCTGGAAATGCAACAAGCTCCTCTAAGCTAATGAAGGTCACATAAGGTCGATGTACTAAAATATATTTAGTTTTCAGAAGGTATGTCTGTAATAACTGACCCAATCCTGCAGTTAAAAAAAGCAGCATAGCACAATATCTAGGGAGAATACCATAACATGTTAGAAAATCATGTATAACTGAAACTATTGCAAAAAATCCACATTTGTGGGTTGGGGACAAAGGTTTCTTCTGCTCTTTCAAAGAAGATCCAGTACCTGTTCTACCCATCCCTTTTGAGTAGGGGGTGCTTAATGATTAACTACATTTACAAGCATGACAAAATGGGGAATTAGGAAAAAAAAAAAAAAAAAGCATCAGTGTATTCTACTTGGCTGCTGCTGCTGCTCCTCCAACCTGCTTTTTGTTCCAAGTTATTTCTGACTGTCCCTAACAGACAAGGAACTGTGTTTCATTGAAAGACTTTAAGTTTTGTCAGTTTTCCTGTTAGTAAAACACACTGGTCCTAAAACTGACCAGTTTCATAACGGCTTAAGTATTCTATGGAAATCTAATTCCAAAAACAGCAGCAGCAGCAGAAAATTGTCAGGATACTGCCAAAGGCCTTAAGACACTTTAAAAAAAAAAAAAAAAGAACTAAAATTTACTAATTGCTTTTCAGGAACTGTCAAATCTAACTGATAAGAAAATAAGGTGTTTTTTCTTTTAAATTAACTTACTTTGCAGGAATTTCTTGTGGGGATGCAAACCCATGCCACAAAACATTACGAAGATTCAGACCATACGGTGATCCAATGAATACCCTTAGTACATCCATCTAATTAATAAACAAAATGATTACTACATGAAGAAATCTATTATTTATTACCTTGTGTCTTTCCCTGACAGGAAATTTGAAGAGTTATTGAGAAACTATAATGCCTACTGTCAAAATGACTAGGCACAGATTGTCACAGTAATGGCAACTCCCAAAGGTATTGAAAGGAAATCTTAACTTTCTTGTACATGCTATAGAATATAATAAGGAAAGAATAAAACTTACAAACATCCTAAACAACTATGACAGGAAAACAAGATCGAATTTAGCTCTTACTTATCACAAAAATACACAATAATTTGGCAGAAATTTACATAAAAAAGGCAGAATTTGCATTCAAAGTTGTATTCCCAGACCTACTATCAAACAAAAAGGGAAACTGTTTAACTGTAAGAATTGAACTTTTCCACATGCCTGTAAGAATTCCAGAAATAATCCTTATAAAACTACTAGACTGGCTAACAAGATATAGCCAATACTACTGTCCTAACAAAAAAATTACATTTGTAAAACTGTATGAGAAAGACCTATCTACTTTGTTTACACAAGAGGGTAAATGTCATCAGAATTTTGTTTTATTATTTTTATGCAAATGGAAACGGGCTAACCTACTTTCCTCTCTTGGAAAAAAAAAAAAAAAGTATGGTAAGTGTTATAAAGCATTTTACTACAGTGGCAGTGAAGAGAAACACAGCTTTAGAAGCTGATTATTAGGTGTGTATTTTCAAGTAGTACAACTTCAAAAAGAGGCAGACAACTCTGCAGTTTTCTTACCCCTTGCCAAATATATGAAATTTTGTGTATGTGGGTTTTTCATGTAGAAGAGCAAGTAAAAACATATGGGCTTGCCTTAGAAATCATTACCATTTACAATTATAATATTCACTATTTTTTGCCATATATCCCCCAGATTTTCTGTGACACCTATATAATGAAAATTTTCCCAATATATTTCAAAATTTGCAGTGCAAGCAAAGGTTATGTTTGGAAACCTGGCAAAAAGAAAACCAGCTCTGTAGTTGTTACTTATTTCGAAACTATGCACTTACTACATCTTGTCCAAAAACAACTGCAAGCTGCTCAGAAGCAAGCAAATCTCTTAGAAGGAAGGGACAATCTTTACCAATCAGTAAATATACCTATTAAAGAAGAAGAAAAAAGTAAAAACAATTAAAGCATAAATAATTCAGTATATTTCTTTGTATTTCAAACACAGAGCCTGACAATTTTATCCAGTAATCATTTTCACTATTGAAAATAATCAGGGTGTTGAGGAAAGTTCTCCAGCAGCCCATTTCCAGCTCTTAGCTCTTGCCTCTCCTCAAAGAAATTAATATCATCATCAGGTCATCTGTGGAAAAAGTATGCTGCTCTGTTTCAGTGAAATAACTCAGAGCAGCAAAGACCTGCCTATATGTTCACAGATTAAGCAAACATTCCTCTTTTTTAATGAAATTGTTTAGGAAGTGCATTCACACGAGCAACTCTACCAGCACAGGTGATGGGGAACCAGAATGCTTGTTAGTGCGACTGGATCCAGTAGAAAACATCTGTCCAACTGGATCCAGGTGTGGCTAGGCTACTCTGTACTACTACAGTACAGGGTAATTTCACTTCTTCAAAGTGCAATTAAATCCAAGAATTTGTTCTCATGTTATAAATGAAAACCTGCAATTGAATACACATGGTGCCACTTACATCACCCAAAGCTCTCTCCAAGCATGATGTCAGCTTCATTAAGCCAAGAGCAACTTCTGTAGCTTGCGCATATTGTAGAACATCAAATACTTCAAGAAATAACTGTGATTTGTGGGAAAAAAGAGGAAGAATGTTGCATTAAATATTCAGAAGGAAAAATCAAATTGTCAAAATAACACAAAAACATGACCTAAATATTCCTCTGTGATTGTCACAACACTATTACAGAATGAAAACCATGCCACAGTGATAAAACTGTAGATATCTGGAGGGTCACTACTTTAGACTGGCTCTTGTATTTTTAATCACAACTTACCTAGAGGCTCACATCTAAAAAAAATAACTAACTTTACACAGTAATATTTGATATTAGACACTGATTATTAGTCTTTACAGAAAAATAAAGTAATACCATCTTAGGTTAGAACAGGCTCAAAATACCACGTGTTCACGTGCACACTGGAACAGGCTCCCCAGGGAAGTGGTCACTGCACCGAGCCTGACTGAATTTAAGAAGAGATTGGACTGTGCACTTAGTCACATGGTCTGAACTTGGGTAGACCTGTGCGGTGTCAAGAGTTGGACTTGATGATCCTTAAGGGTCCCTTCCAACTCAGGATATTCTATGATTCTATGATTCTATGATTCTTTTTGTGGCAGCATATATAAAATCTAACTATAGAGTCAGGAAAATTAAAAGTGACAACGTGTCAGAGAAGGACAATTAGTTACAAATTCTAATCGTTTTGGTTCATTTATCTCTCTTGAGTGTTCCTATATTGAACTTTCACAAAGAGATCATGTGTCAAAATACAAACCGTCCACATACATTTCCATACCTCTGTGTAGTTTGTCCAGTGAAACCATACTGCATACTGAACTACAAATCGGTCCTTGGTTAGAGATTTGAAGTGCAAATTAACTGATTCACATACAGGTCCGAGTGACTGGACACTTTTGATATAATCCACACCTTGATCTTAAATTGAAAAACAGAAGGTGATTAGAATACCAAATTTCCTGAAGTTCCAATATTTTAAGAACCATAAGAAGTAGAACCTCCAGTAGCCCATGTACATATTTAGATAAACAATTTTATCCAGATTATTTTAATGCAACTGATACACTACAATTTACCTGTCCAAAAGAGCACACAAATGAACTATAGGAAAAGTGTAGTGTGAAACCAGGTAAGATCAAATACCTTCTCCAAAAAAACAAAAAAAAGACAATGCAAGAAATATGGAATTAAAGGGGATTATTATATTCTATCTTCTTTGAAAGAGGAAGAACCTATCAGTGAAAGAGTACAGTAATTCTATACAACCAAATTGGAAGCTAGTGCAGGCTCAGAAGCCTCGACCAAATTGCACCACTTACACCTGTTAAAGAATGCAGATGGATGTGGCACTTATAGACTGGTATAATTTCTTCTCTTTGGTGGGACATTTTGAAAGCAAAAGAAATTTTCTGTTTCACTGAAAAATATTGCTTGAGGAAGGTATACCTATCATTTTTACCATCTTCGGAAAATAATAAAAGCTTCCAATTCGTCAAATGAAAATACAGCCAGCTCATCAGGACATAGATACTTGTTTTGCTTAACAAACAATTACGTACAGAAGTGAAAGTTGGGAAAATAAGAACTGAAGCAATAGTAGGGCTACTGATTGCTCACAGGTGTTTTAAATTTACTGCAAAAGGCATTTAAAGATTATAGAAGAAACCAATTATGAGGCAGGAGAAAGGCAGAACTGAATTCCTCACATAAATGCAGGAGCTGTGAACTGAGCAGAATGAGGAAGGAGAAGCTACTTATGTAGCACAGATTACATGAATCTTAGGAGTTAGTAATAACTAATAAGCATAGATGAAACGTTTAAAGCTGGTTGTAGATAGGAAATATACATACTCCAGCAAGTGAAGCTAATGCTACACTGTAATAAAATGTTATGACTAAGCCAGGACTACTATGAAGAATCAGTCTTTATGTATCGTTACTACAGAAGGTAAACACCAACCTGATTCAAGGTAATGCAAATGCTCTGTAACAGCTTGCCAACATACTTCTCCATTTTCAGACACAATATTATTAATATCATAGATGTCTTTTTTCTCAAATCCAAGTTTGCAAATCATGTAATGCACAGGTGGAGAAAGACAAGTACTGACTGAGCCTGGGAGTGCCATCTAGAACACACAAAAAAGGTTCTATGTAGTAAGAAAGTATATGAGAACAAGCAAATTATTATCGAAGGATACCTGTCAGCACAGATACACAGAGACAGCAATACAGGATCTGTAAACAAGTAATAAAGAATCTGTAAACAGGTTAAGTTTTGGAATGCAATTTCCATCTATACATATTATGAAAGAAACTCTCTGTGCAGAACCACTCCTCAAGAGGTGGAGGGCCAGAATTGCTCTTATTTGCATATACCAGTTTGGTGTATTTCTGAATGGTTACATCCACCAAGCTGGTGACAAGGAAGAGGGCGATGAGGCACTGGAACAGGCTGCCCAGAGAAGCTGTAGATGCCTCATCCCTGGAAATGCTCAAGGCCAGGCTGGATGGGGCAACCTGGTCTGGTGGGAGGTGTCCCTGCCCACAGCAGGGGGCTGGAACTGGGTGGTCTTTAAGGTTCCTTCCCACCCAAACCACTCTGTGATTGTATGAAGACAGAAGAAAAAGATCACAGTCTGTACAGTATGTTCTGCAAAATCTCATCTTTGTGCAGAAACTGATGTTACTTCAAGCAAAACCAAGTGCTTCAATCTTTACACCAGCAAGAAAAGAGCAAGTAAATTCTGTGTGAGCAGGTAGTATTGGTAAAACAATCCAAATATAGACATTACCCGCATCTTTGTCTAAGTGGGAACGTGGACTCATTCAGAAACATATACTGAATATGCAGAGAGAGAGAATGAAAGATATATACGATAGAAATGAAAGAATATGCAAAAACTAGAACCATTCATACTAATGAGGAGATATATATTTCTGACTTAGTAAAAAACAAAGTCTCTTCATTAAAGAGGTAGCAAAGACAGTTAAGAAATTGCTTAGAAAATAAAGGATGACAACAAACATGCAAGGGGCTTAGTGTTAAGCTGGCAAACACAACACGTTGTTTCCTCTTTAATTATGAATTCAGGCTCACAGGACCTACTTTCTGAATTCCAGGCTGAATTCAATCGCACAGTAACGCCACAAACACCCCAGCTCCTACAAAGACCCGCTACCAGCCGCCCTCGGCAGCACCCCACCCGCGGTTCCCCACCAACCCAAACGCTCACAAACCACGAAACCCAGCCTTTCGCGTCACTCCCAGGCACCCCAGATTTCTCCAGCAGATACGGGGCAATCAGAGCATAGCCCACAGGACCGCAGCAACCCCCCGGTGCCCCGAATAAAAGCGGCGGAGAGCCAGAAACACCGCATCCCCATCTCCCCCCCTACCCCGCCGCAGCCCGGCGGCCATTACCTGGCTGCTGCCCGCCCCGCGCCCCACGTCACGGCGCTGAGGGAAGGCTCCGCCCGGCCCCGCACCGCTGGCCGGGGAGGAGGCGAGGGGAGGCGGCCGCCGCCGGCCCCAGCTCCGCGTTGAGCCATGGAGACGCGCCCCAAGGCGGAGCGGCGCCTGAGCCTGTCGGCTGCCCAGCGAGAGCGGCCGGGCCGGCTGCCGGAGGGGGTGAAGGTGGCGGCAGCGGTTGTAACGGCGGCGGTGTCCCGGGGGGTGGTGGGGGTGGCCGTTTCGCAGGTGTTAAAGCCGGCTTGTTGAGAAATAGAGTTTGTCCAAATGGTGGAGGCTCGCAGCCCTCAGTGTACGAGCTCCTGCCTGCCCGAGGTCATGCTGGCACAGCACAGTCCAGTCCCGTGAGAGCCCATTTCTGTATAGTCCATTTGAAACTGGGTCATCTGGCTTCAATAGGGCCTTTCCAGAAGGATGTAGAGGCTCGACATAAATGTAACAGCAACACCGAGAGTCATTGAATAGAATCATTACGGTTGGAAATGATCTTCAGGGTCATCTGGTCCAACCATCGCCCTACCACCAATGTCACCCACTAAACCATGTCCCCAGGGCAGCACGTTCAACGACACCACCACATCCCTGGGCAACCCATCCCAGTGCCTGACTGCTCTTTCTGAGAAGAAATTTCTCCTCATTTCCAACCTGAACCTCCCCTGGTGCAACTTGAGGCCATTCCCTCTAGTCCTATCACTGGTTATCTGTGAGAAGAGGTCAAGCCCCAATGCTGTGCTGAAACTTGGAATCCCATGCTAATAATGCACATGAAGAAGCAAACTGTCCAGTGTTTGCATTGTGAAATACAGAAGTGTATTTACTTATTAAGACATTGAAAGCCTTGGTTAATACAATCATAACTATAAAACCGGGCAGAGAGATCAGTAAGGATTTTAGTTACCTCATTATCAAGTGAGGAAATGTTTATGGAAACTTCTGTCACTACTACTAGCGGTTAAGCTTCTACCAGCACCATTTGAAGTTCGGTGCCATAGACACAAATTTTCTTCCATCTTCAGTCTTGTACAGGTTGAAGATACTGTGACTTATGTGGAACTGCATTAGCAAAGAGTTGCTGTTTAGGTTGTAACCATTTTCACATGCTCAATTATATTGAAAAGGTTTGGGATGCTCATCTGGGAAGCTAATAGCAGAGTTGATTTTTTTTTTTCTTTCTTGCTAGAGGACCCGTGATGAGCTGGTACGATCTACTAGTTTTATAGCTTAGCCTTCACAGTTCTGAGTTTCTGACAAGTGTCCGCAGCCTCAGTGCAAATTGTCTGTTCCTTCCATTTTAGTGTAGTGTCAGTACTATTCAGAGCTTGTGCTGTTGGCATAGTATCAACAAACACCTGCAGCCAATTTGCATTAGGGCTGCCAACATCACTAGTTTGTAGCAGTTATCTAACTGAGGAACTGGGAGACAGATCTAAGTAATGTTTTAGTGTCAACATGGCTGATGTGTGATACCGTAAGGAAGAAACTGCATTGCATCCCTTATTCTCAAACTTCTCTGACTAAAAGATTTGTGAACCCCAAAGTAGTGCATCTTTTCAGATAGTTATTATTAGAGCTTTCTGTTACCCACAAATGTATTTTTTTTTCCTACGCTTTTTAATGTAAGCCTCATGCTCTCTTCTGACAAGTAGCTGATGATGGCCTAAGTTCTCTCTGTAGTAAGAAAGCGGAGCAAGGGGCTGAAGAATCGGCAAAACTTGAATGTGGTTAGGAGGTAGCTGGTATGGAAAATCATGGTCTGTAGCAGTTGTTACAGTCTCATTGGTACCAAGTGCTTTTCTGTCTCTGTCTTTTGTTACTGTTTTACAGTTGTGTTTTAAGCCAACTGTGGAGGACAGCAAGTGGTGATATCTGAATGCATCATCAGACTTGCTGCTTGCATTCATAGAAGGCCAAGTTTTGTTATGTGTATTAAAAGAATGATATTGCACGAGCTGGATGGGGAGAGAACTTGGATCTTCAGAGTTCTCATGACACACAAAGAATTACTACTCTGCTTTGAAGTTCCAAGCAAAATTACAAAGCTTGCAGATGAAAGTATCTTTTTCTTTTTAATGAGCAAATTAAGACATTAATACATAAGGCATTTATTTAGTAGCATCACAAGCAATGAGGACAAGTAAAATTTCCTAGTAAATGAACCAAGCATATATGTTGGATTTTGTGTACAATTTTTGAATGAAAAGCTTGAAGTTGTCAGTAAGAGTCTCAGGCACATGTTGGTATTTGTGTATGTTTGTTTTTCCTATAAAATGGAGTGAATGCGGAGTGCTACTGTGGCATACTTGCTTGACTGAGACTAAATACAAACTTAATTTAGGCTTCATTGGAAAATAAATGAAAATTGAACACAAGTTAACCACCATTCTCTTTTTCAGTGAAAGTGATGGTGTCAAAACAGCCAGAGGAAAAGATATAATATTTCTAGCTTTTCTGCTTTTTCAAAACACAGACTGTTTTTTACTTGTAACTATATACCATAAAGTAGCATTTAGAGATTGTAAAACACTAAGCCATTTACATCTAATGCAGACTTTCTTATTATTTTGCACAGATGAAAGGAAAACGGAAGCAAACTGTTTTTGAATCTTTAGCTCCCCTGGAAGAAGAATATTTCAGCGAATCAACAAAAACTAAGCGACTGCCATTCAGACCTAGTAGGGCAAAGATAAAATATGCTAATACATACAGACTAGAGCCATATCATAAATTTCAGGATTATTTAGTGAGAGACAAAGCTCAAGCAATACTAACGGTATAGTACTTTTAAAATGAATTTTCTTTTTTTTCTTTTTTTTTAACAGTAGTTTGTCTTGCAAAGATTAAGCAACTTCTGCTGTTCCATTAATGTAAACTTAAAACATAGGCATAAATGTTTGCAGGCTTAAGTTTTGGCACACATGTAGTATGTAGTGCTATGTTTCACAAAGTGCAGAAGGCCCTCTGCAAGTTAGCCACTAAGCATGTGCTGTTCAGATGGAGCTGAAGCTTGATCTCTTACTCATTTCTAATCAAAGTAAGTTATAGTTATTCAAAGTACCCTGACCTCCAAAATATCTGGATATCCAAAGATCCTGATCTTGGATTTGTGACATTTGACTTTGATTGGATCTATTAATATCACTTGACCAGCATAACATATGCTTTGTGTCCTTGACAGTCTGACTGCCACATATAAAAAATAAGCAGAAAATAATGAGAACAATCTACTAAAATGTGATGGTGATACCTTGAAAAGTTACAACTAACTCTTGTAATTCTGAGGACAGGCCTTCAATATATGGAACAGGTATTTATAGAACTATTTTCCAGTGAACTGAGCCTAAGTGCTGGAGAATAATACATCCCTGTTTGCTGAAATGAGATTGGCTCTATATGTGTAACTGTAACTTTCAAAAAAATAGATAAAGCATTTAATATAAAAAATAGTACAGCTTTTGCTGTTTGGGAGCAGCATCTGTATTTTACAGTCTATTCTACTCCTTATTTTTTCTAATGAAAATGTCTGTAAAAGTTTATTGCAAAGAACTACCTGGATGAAAACTAAGATCTTTCAAATTTGTTTTCAATAGAAGAAACTTCAACAAGGCAAATACGATGCAGTTTCTAGTCCCTCCTTGTGTGCTTCAATCTCTGAAGAGATATTAACAGCTACGAAGAAAATGGGCTTTGACCGTTATAAGTATGTGGTATCAGTGCTAATTGTGGAAAAGGCAGGTCAAGCAATACATGTGAGCAAACAAATTATTCTTAATACCTTTTGCAAATTGAAAGTAATTTTTAGAAGTGTATGTTATCTCCTAGGCATTAATCCACATACAGCAGTGTAACATGAAGTAGTCTTGGCGCTTTTAGGTTCCTTAGGGAAGTAGTGTACTAGGTGACAAAGGTACTGCTGTGCTTCTGACTAACCCTGTTAAGGTGTGTGTTTGGTTTAGGTTGTTTTTTGTTTGTTTGTTTTGTTTTGAGTTCAGCAACAGTGGTAAGGAGCCCATGCTGCTTTTCTCTATCAACCAGTTATTTCCCCTGTGTGCTGTGCCAGTACAATTGCATGACGGCAGTGAATATTTTTTTTCTCCTCTATTTCTAGAGAACTTTGACCTCCAGTTAGGTCATCAAATGCCAGCATAAAATGCAGTGCAGTTGTGGCAGGGGGTGACATGGGAAGGAATAGGAGCAAGGAAAGGAATGTAGACTGTTTTAACTGGAGCTGCCACCAAATGGATACTCCTGGGACTACAGCTGGGACAATAGTGACCTGAACTTGGTACACCCAAAACAAAAGAATTTATTGGACTGCAATTTTCCTGTGTTGTGTGATAATTTACATGTGTTGCAAGCTCTCTTTGGCTTTCAGCACACTTTTTGGTCTCTTGCTGAGAATTAGAGAACACTTGTAGTAGTTGAACCACAGCTGGTGTTAAAACCTGGTGTTTTGCTCAGGTGAAGCCATACCTTGTTCTTAATGGCTTCTGTGAAATAATGTTTGAAGGGGTGCTGTCTGAGGCCAGTCTATGAAGGTCCTACATCTACCCACTGTTCCTGGAGCTGTGGTGCAGTACACAGCTTCCTAATTTGTACTGTATGGGTGTAGAGCTGTAGGAGAAAGATGGATTACTGAAATGTTCCAAATTAACTCTTTTTTTTTCCTCTTGAAGATAAGTTTTATTTTAGCAGTGAATTTACACGTTAGTTTTCAGAAGACTTTTACCAAAAAAATGAGAGTCACAAGTATACTGTTAGAGGTGGAAGTGGCAATTGCTTTTTACTTAAATTTGTTGCCAGAAATGGTGTCTGTCGATGTCATGTTTGAAGGGATGCTGTTACAGTATGCTGAAGTGGTAACAAGTGAACATGACAGAGCTGAGTTTTTGGTGTAGATAGTTTTGGGACAATTGGGGTGGGAGCTTTAATGTGAAGCAAGAACACATTTTCATACAAATAGTATTTGTTCATTTTCATTGTCATTTTGCAGTTGTTTTTTACTAGTTGTGGCTTGTGTAATTCAATTATGTCAGCATTTATGTAACACGTTCAAAGCATAAAAATTGTGCTATATAATCTCACAAATGATTTTATCTTTTCTTTCCTTTAGGTTGCCAGCAGATGGGTCTGGGATGTTCAAAGAGACAGTTGGGTCTCAGCTAAATATGAAACGGAAACGTTTATAGCACTGGCTTTGGTAATGGCTTGCTATTATGAGTAATGCTCTAAAAAGCACACCTATTTTTGTGCATCACAGGACTCGGTATATTTGAAAATTTTCAGAACATCGGTCTACCAACAGCGTTTGCCCAAAACCTGGCACTGAAATATAGAAGCTGACATATAGTTGGGATAATTTTGCTCGCTTTTCTTTGTAAAAATAACTTCTGAAATGTGTGTGGTTAAGTACGTGTGGGCTTCATCTGTCATAATGCTCTGAAGCAGCTGGTGTAACGCCAGACTTGGTACCATTTTGAATGTTGTGTGTTGCACGCCCAGAGCTGTTAACGAATGCTTGCAATAAATTGTAGGTGTCTGTTTTCTTAAAAGTGTGCTTTTTGAAAGAGGAGGCAGCGTTATTTTTTTTTTTCCTCGGTTGTACTTATGATAAAACGCCTGTTCGTGTAGCAGCGTGCAGCGGGAAGCCATCTTTTGCACGCTTGTATTGTGCAGCATTCCACAGGCTTGCTTTCAGCGAGGCGTGAGTTGAATCCCCGGCTTCCCCGCGTCCCAACCTTGGCGTTCAGCATCAGCAGCGCTCAACCTGCTGCCCAGGGGCCGAGCTGACCATTCCAGCGGCGTGAGCCCTACTGGCCAACACAGGCTGACAGCGCTCTGGCTGCGGGGCTGCCGACCCCCCGCCCGGCCCGGGCGGGGCCCCATTGTTCCGAGCAGCCGTGCTGCCGGTGCGGCGGGGCGGCTCCAGCCGGGGGTCCCTCACCGCACCGCACCGCGCCGCGCCGTGCTGTGCCGTGGGAGGGGCCCGGCGCTTTGTGGGCCGGGGTCTGCCCGCGCTCTGCCTTCAGCCTCCCGCCGCGGCGGGGGCGGCGCCGGGCGGGGGGCGCGGGGCGGCGCGCACCGTGCGCGCTCCCTGCGCGCAGCGGCGGGGCCGGCCGCCGGTGCCGGTGCCCTCCTCCGGGGGTGTGGGGGGAGCGCGCCCCCCGCGCACCCCTCCTGCGGTGGTTGATGGTTCACAAGCGTAGCTCGGCCGCGGCTGACGCGCCCGGAGACGGCTCCCGTGCCGGGCGGAGGCGGCGGCGCTCGGCGCTGCCCACCCGCGGGGGATGCTGCCCCTGCGCCCCGCGCTGCTGCACAAGCGCTACCGCGGCGGATCGGCGCCGCGCTCCCGGCCGGGCCGCGCGGCCGCACGGGCTGCGGCGGCAGCAGCAGGAGGAGGCGGCGGCGGAGGGCGCGGCGGTGGCGGTGGCAGCGGCGGGTCCCCACCGCCCTGCCCGCGCGGCGGCGGCGGCACCGGCACCGGCAGCGCCGTGGGTGCGGGCCGCGCCTCGGTCCGGCGGCGCGGGCCGGGGTCGCCGCGGGCTGCCCGGAGGGGGGCGGAGCAGGAGCTGCGCGAGCCGCCGCGCTCGTGCCCGGGCTGGCCGGTAGGGGCCGTTGCCACCCCCCGCCGGGGGAGGGGGGGCGGAGCCGGGCGCGGAGCGAGGCCGGGGCGGGCGGCGGCGGCGGCGGCGCTGCTCCTCGCCCAGCCGGCGGCCCCCGCGGCGGTGATGGCGGCCGTGCTGTCCCCGCGCCTCTGCGACAGCGACCCGGCCACGCCCGGCGCGCAGTCCCTCAAGGTGAGAGCCGCGGCCTCGCCGCCGGGCCCGGCCCGCTCCGCTCCCCCCCCACCCCTCCCCGCCGCCTCAGCACGGGCCCGGCCCCGGCCCGCCGGCGGAGGGGGAGGGCGGGCGAAGTTTGTGGCAGCGCCGGGCGGGCCCCTCCTGAGGGGGCTGCGTGGGGCTGGGGGCGCTGCAACTTGGTGAGGGCCCCCACAAAGTTGGGGTGGGGGGGACGGCTGGGGGGAGCTTCCCGCGGCCGTGAGGGGCCTCGGTGGGCTGCTGGGCTCGGCGCTGTGCCCGGCACGGGGCTCCGGGCGGGCTGCTGCCCGTGCAGGTGCTGTGGCGTGCACCCAGCCGCCCGCTGCCGCCCCTGTTTCACTTCCTGGGCTCCGAGCCTGCGTGATGGGAGCCGAGGGCAGGGATGTAAACACAGCGCGCTGCAGCCTGAACGGAAAGAAAGTGCCGAGGCAGAGGAGAAAAACTTGTACAAGTCCTCTCACAGGCCACGTTTATACTTCTCACTTAAACACAGAAGTTTGGAAGTTTCTTGCATAGACTTTTGTGCAGAAAACCATAGCTTTGGCCCTGTTTATCTATTTTTGGAGCGCGTTAGTGTTCCGGGTGAGAAGTAGGAGTGAACTGCTGCTGAGACGTAGCTGTGTTACAAAAGCTCTAGTGTGATATTGTTTTGGTTGGGACTGTTAGTGAGTTTATGCAGGGTGTTCCTAGTAATACTCACAGATAGTATTGTTGGTAATACTCAGAGATGCTGCTTGCAGTTTCGTTAACATTGCTTTTATTTTTTTTTCTTGTTGTATGAAAGACATTCTTTCTTGAAGAAGAGCTGGAGTAAAAACTCCCCAAGAAAGAAAGAATGAAAAAGTCACGTAAAGAATTCCGTAATACGTGAAACAAACCAGAAGTAAAGGAGATGCTTTTCTCCTGTGACCTGTCTTGATTACAGTGCTATGCAGTCTTATATAACAAACTTTATTATTTGCTGAATTCTTTTTAAATAATAGTATTTCAAGCGATATGATATGTAAAACATACTAGAGTGAAAAACACTAGCTAATACAGACTTAATAATAGCTCTTGTCACGGTTTAACAGTGTGTCATCATGGGCTTGATCCATTTATTTCTGACACATTAATATTTCTTTCCTAAGCTTTTCACAAAAGTTACAAAAAGTGATTCTTTCGTCCTATTCCAGAGTTTCAGTTACTTAAAGAGTTGTTTTGTTCTTGTATCTACTGCTGGTCACAATACACAATTCACTATGCTACTTCTCTCTCCGCTTTCTCACTTGTAATCGTGCAAGGTTATTCACTAAAGGCTTTGAGATTTTAGGTAGGAGTTAAATAATAGTTTTCCTTTTTTTTTCCTCTCCACAAAAGAAAAGTTTTTGCTCTGTCCTTACCATTGCTTTTCGGAGCAAGCCTGAGTAAGGGAATTACTTTTGTCCCTGACCCTCACTGGTGAGGGAAGCTTGTTGGGTCTACAGCTGCCTGGCTGTGCTGTTGTAGTTTACATTGGGAATGAACTTGGTGGTCAGAGCCACATTCGTCTATTGAGTACTCCCTGTATGCAGCAGGCGAGAAACAGCCAGTTCTCTGTGCCGTTTTGTGGCCTACAGCTAGTTTATATCAGAGAACAATTTGCTGCATAATCTGTCCTATGAGCTCTTTGTAGAGAGTATTATTAAATAGTTCACTTCTTCGGGTATACTTGAACTGCAGATTGTTGTACAGTATTTTTTTTTTTGTATTTTAAATGATCCACTGAATACTTTTATTTTTTAATACCTATTTGCATGTTTGTTTCAGGATGACACAGAAGAAAATTCCAATGATGGCAGCCAGCCATCCAAAAGACGACGTATGGGCTCAGGGGACAGTTCTCGGAGCTGTGAAACTTCTAGTCAAGATCTTGGGTAATACCATTTCTTTATTGCTAGTCTTACTGTAGTGTTCAGTATGCTTAAGTATTAGCTCTTCCACATTCTTTGCTTTTATATACTTCATATAGATTCTGATTTGAGGGAATGTCCTATAAGTAGTGGGGTGTCTTTTTCTCCGGGCATATTTTAAGAGGTCATATTTTAAAACCACACAGAGCGTGCTGTGTCTTAATTTATAATCAAAAGCACAGCTTAGAAGTTTTACAAATATTACATGTTTCTGGAGTGAATTTTGACACTGTAGCATCTGCTTTTTTTCTGAGGTCCTTTCCACCATTACGGATATCCCTTTTTTGTGTTCCTTCTCTCAGCGTATTGATAAACACTGCTTTCGGGAAGTACACGTGAAGTGGGGTGTAGGTAAATGCCTTGAAAAAGATTAAGAGAATGTGATGTTATAAAGGAATTGTCCAGCTATCTGTAGATGGTGGTCAGTAATGTAGATTGGAATTAGTGAATTTCTAGAAATGTAAGTATCCCTCTTGTATATTCTTTGATTTCTTCTAATGTGTTTTTTTGTTTGTTTTTTTAAACGCTCAGATACAGCTATTTTCCTGCTGAAAACTTGATAGAGTACAAGTGGCCGCCGGATGAAACAGGGGAATACTATATGCTTCAGGAGCAAGTCAGTGAATATTTGGGTGTGACTTCCTTTAAAAGAAAATATCCAGGTATTTGTTTTTTTGTGTGTGTTTTTTTCTAAATTTTTCTTCTAAAAAAAATCTCTGCTTTCATATGTTTGAATGTAATCTCTGTGTCTCTTTGACCATGGTATGAGCCAGTTGTTTAAAAAAGTCCATGGCAAAAGTATATCTCAATTTTGTATTTTGTACTTCTTGATTTTGTTACTGGCATATTGAAAATGTATACTACAGTTTTCAAAGCAATTTAAGACTTTTCAGTATGGTCACTGAAAATCTGCAGACAAGTCTGATTAAGGGTTAAGGTGAGCAAGTAGCTTTTGAAAACTGACCTCAGCTTTATTCTTAGATATTTTGTTACTGATCTTTTGCTGTATAGCTGTATCTCTGTATTGTTTCCTAAATTGTGGTAAAATTTCTATTTTATCTGTGGAAGGATTTCAGAATGAATTGGGAAGGTTCTAGGATTTTAGTCTTCATAATTCAGATTTATCGTACATGGTTCTTATGTCATGGAATTCATTTTAAAAGGCATATTAAAAGAAAAAAGTTAAATATGCCTTCAGTATTTGATCATATTTTCTGCATCCAAGCTCTTGTGGCAGGTTTCTTTAGTATATCTGTAAATCATAACTATGGGCAAGATTCTCAGAAAAATCGAATGTATCCTGGCAGTGTATATTAAAATTAAAATAAGTTTTTAGTGTTATCATGTTTATAGGAATAGTAGTTTTGTGTAGACTCTCACTACCTGGAAATAATTCTCAGACTACTTTGATATTGTTTATGGGGGATTTTGAGTAACTTCACACATTTTTATTGCTTTTTTTTCTGTTTTCTCTCGAGATTTAGAAAGACGAGACCTATCTCACAAGGAGAAGCTCTACCTCAGAGAACTAAATGTTATCACAGAGACTCAGTGCACATTAGGTAAGAGAAAAGATTGTTAGAGTCCTTGTTACAGTATTGAAAGTGACACTGAAAATGTGATTCAGTTTAGTAGAGAAGAATTAGATCATTTGCAACTGAAAATGTAAATTCTTAAAACTGGCTTATATTTCATTCTTAATTTGTGTTAATTGGCCAAAGGATATTGGTCTTCCAGATTTATTGTTTAAAAAAAAAAAAAAGGATCTATTGTAATTACTTAGCAAAACTTATGTTGTAAATTAACTTTTAGA